CCGCTTTGGCTCCATAATTGACACATAGTGCAGCTCCAAAGCCAAAAGCCTTTGCCCCCTGGACGCAAGAAGGAGATCTAGGTACTGTTTAGCACTTTCTGTGAGAGTCAGGCCAAAAGCAGGACCCCAAACTGAATGCTCCTTGCTTTTGGAGAGATGTGAAATCCAAATCCAGACTCCATTTCTGGACGGTGTTTAGCTTTGTGTTCAACCCTTCCAACACGATGGGGCCAAGACCCCTAAAAACCAATGCCCGCGGATTTCCTGCAGCAAAGGGCAGCAGTGTGCACCCACCCAGGCACTCCCCACCCGCCGCTGCATCGTCTCAGTGACAGCGAGCTCATTTTTAAGACTCGTCTTTTCTTGTTTCTTGGAGGTCAGGTTGCCAAACTTTTCCAGGACTCGAGTCTGGGCAATATTGTCAATATTCTCGTGACCCGACTAATCCTTCTCACCGAGGATCAGGTAAAATTTGGGGGGAGCTTCTGGGTCTTTGCCAGCCCAGCACACCTGAACAGCGTGGCGGTTCTTCCGTCACACTTCTGAGCGTGTTGTATCCCTGCATGTTAAAGCACGAAGCCGTGGCTGAGCAGCCCAGGCATAACCAAGTCGAGCGGCTAGGCACAGCCCGGTGCGCTGCTCCACAGAGCAGGTTCTCCCGGGTGCAAGATGCTTGCCAACTTGCTAAATGTACCGAGTCCCCTTAGAGAAAAGGGACCTGCTGTGTTAAGAAGCAACCCAGGATTCACCAGCCACAGCTGAACGTGCCACAGTATCTCTGTGGTCTTGATTCCTCCTGCACCACCTCACTCAATGGGAGAGGGAAGTGGATCTCCGGCTGATCTGGGAGAAGGTGTTGCTGGTTCACCATGTCATGGCCTCTTTGGGGACATAATGGGACTGCTTCCCTTCCAGCCCACTTTGGAGATTAACCACCACGCCGGGAAGTCCCTGGACAGCTTCTGCAAGTGGCAGAAATCAATCGTGAACCGGAACGGCAATGGAAACGCTATCCCCGAGAACGGCATCGCCAGCCACGACACGGCAGTGCTGATCACCAGGTAAGGCCCTGCCGCTCGCTGAGCATGCATGTGCTGAAGAATTAACTGGGGCTCTGATGTAGGTGCTTCCCCCGAGTCCCCTCACCCCACATCCCCATTCATACACAAAACCATCTCACCCGGGTATGGTGGTGCTTTAAATTCACACGGGTCAGTCCAGCTGGGGCTGCAGCCTGTGTGAGGTTTGCCCCCAGGCTGGTAACTCAGCCGCACACTTTGCAGGGAGGACGCACACTAAAATACCTCCAGTGCTTTCCCACAGCTCCCCTTGGAGGCCCAGAAAGACAAACGCATTCTCCTGCATGTTACTGGAAAAGACTCATAAACTGGCTCGGTTTATCGTTACACTGGCAAACGCGCAATATATCCATCCCCCTGAGGTCCTTGGGGATGCCCATAAGGAACTCAAGCATGGTTTGCACTCCAGGACTCGGCTACCCTGGGTGTCAATGGTCTGAGCTAACGCTGCGTTGAACACTTAACCCAGACTTGCAAACGCATGTGCCATGAGCGCTAGACTCTTGAAAGGAGGCAAATGAGGGCGGCTTGCGTGACGGCGAGTGCTGTGCCATGCACGGAGGAGGGAACCAATGCAATTAAGCTGCAGCGACAGGCAGAGAGAGTCGGGTAGAGGATAGGCGCCGTGCACCATGCAGTTCTTTGAGCATCAGCATGTCCCTGTGTATCAAAATCAGTGGGATATAAGCACATGCTCAAGTGCATTACTGCATTGGGGCTGGCCTGGCCTGCCTGTGAAAGTATGCTGACAGTGCAGATATGGGACTTACACAGGATGCAAACAGCAGAGTGCATTGGACGGAGTCGCACCAAGGGATGGGAACTGGAAGAACTGTTTGGGGCCCAAGACTGGAACGACCCTGGCGCTGGCGGGGAGATTTAAAGAGCGCTGGCATGGATGCACGACGCCGGCCCTCCACCAGCTTGAGCCTTTCGCTGAGCATGTGAGCGCTGCATTGTAACGGAGGCGCCGAGGCCTCTGGGAGTCGTCAGCATGGCTATGCTTTGCACCTTTTTTGCCCCCTCGAGGAAAAGGGGAAGGCTGTAAAATTCAAGCAGCAGACGAGGGAGTCTCCAAGTGGGAGCTGGCTCCCTTTGGCTTCCCGCACGCTGCGCGCTCGCTCCAGTTCCCTTCAGCTGCAAGAGCTGCACGAAACCTGGCTCATGTCAGAAGGGCTTGTGAAATTTTTACAGGGTGGAGGGAGGAGCCAGCGAAAGGCCCCATCGGCCTCGGCTTCACCCTTCCAGGACTGCAGCGTCTGTTTTCCCTTCCCTCGCCCCGCACGTGTGGTGTACAAACGCTGACTCCGAATTCCTCGGCTTCCCACCAGATGTTTCAACTAACCCTAAGCAACTCCTCGGCCCCGCGCTCCTGGAGCCAGCTCCAGCGCCAGGCCTTGGAAGGGGCACATCCGGCCCTGTCTCTGATAAATTCCCCGTCTCCCGATAACATCTTGCTGAGCTGTGGGTTTTTTGCTCTTTCAGAGACGTGTCAAATCACAACCTCAGAAGGCTTGCAGGGAGTCGGCTCGCAACAAAGCAACAAATGCTTTTCACTCGCTCGGTTCCCTGGTAGGGGGTGAGGGGGTTTGCAGCGAGCAAGAGGCCGAAAGGACAGGAGCCCTTTTCTAGGAACATTGCTCTTAACCCACTATGGCTATAAGTTTCACGGGCTGAGAGAAGCAGCCCGGCTTAATGACGGGACCTGGGCCCCTTCACAGCACAGGCAGATGCACAAACTTCTTCCGCGGGGCTCAATCCCGGCTAACGATCTTCATCAATCCTTGTTAATTATCTTTGCATGTTTCATATGCATCTAAGCCCTGACCAGCACCGCACCTGCTGTTTTACTCCTGGCCTTTGTATACGGCACAGCTTGTGCATCTCAATCCAGCCCCACCTTTGCACTCGCTCCTGGTACCCTGCTGATAGCTGGCAGCACCCTGGGCTGTTGCAGCTAGACATGCACTGCCCGCGTGAGCTATAGCATCCGATGGTAGAGATCATCATGGCAAAGAAACAAATGTTTGGGTGAGTGTGTCAGGGAAGGGGCAAAGAAAGGGATGTGGGCGTCAGGGGCAAGTATTCGGATTTGCCCGAGTGAACCCGAACTTCGCTCTGTGGCCTTAGCTGTTGCCTAGCGAGACTGAAACAGCTGCTGCGTCCCACTGTAGAGAGGGCTGCATCTCATCTGGGGACTGGAGTTTCCCTGATTGCTGTCCTTTAATCTTTATGTGCCAGTAACTAAAGCTGTGTAAATAACCCCTATTTTGGTGTGTCAGCTGAACTGGGAAGCTGGGAGGAAAAAAACCCCTATTTTGGGTCAACCCAGGGCTAGATCTTGTGAAATTTTTCATTGACTAGCAAAGTCAAAGAAACTTCATTTTGCTTTTTGTCAGGCTTTTTAAATAATGTTAAAGTGCATTTCAGTATGAAACCCCCTTTAAAACTGGAACGTTTCCCATTGTGTGAGGGATGCTCCCCAGCCAGCCCTACTTGCACACACTAAACCCCCCAAAAGGCAGCAGTGAAGCTGCTTGGAGACGGCCCCTGCAGTCACTCTTAAGCCCACCAAGGAGAGGGGACGTGGTGTAGGCATACTCAAAGTGACCCCAAAACTGCGGTCTCTTGGCAGGGCTTCTGTTGTTCTGTAGACAAGCCCTTAATTAAGCAAGGGCCCAAGTCACAAATTTTAGATGTGGAGCCAACCCGCATGTGTCTTCCTGTCTGCAGCTTCAGTTGAGGGCTCTCTTTGATATCTCTCTGTATTGCCCTGTGCCTCAAGTAAGAAAATCCTCAGAGAAGATTTATTCCCCCCCATTTGAGCCCTGTGAATATACGATTCTTTAGCTCGGGCCAGCTTTGAAAAATAAAAAGAAATTGGTCCAGAGCCACTGACAACAAAGCATTTTTACTATTTGCAGCAAGGTGGGAAATCAAAGAAAGTTTCCTCCCAGGTCAAAGGAAACGCCTTGTTTCATAGTCAAATGGTGCTAATGGCTCTTTTTTAAAAATAAAATTGAAGGGAAGTTCAAAACAAAAGGTCATTTTTAAACAGAAAATTGAAAAATGTCATTTTGACTGTGGTTTTTGGATTCTGGGTTTTTTAAAATTTTCTACAGGAATATTTTTGTTGAAGCCAAATTGGGTTCCTGAACACCTTTGGTGTCATCAAATCTGCATCTCTTTTGTCAGAAAAAAGTTTTGGCTAATAAAGATCTCCCACTTTTACTCACCGTGCCTTGATGACCTCTGGATTTGAGCTCAGCCTGACTAATGGAGGAAGTCAGGCCTCCATAGGGCAAACACGCTGCTCCCTGCTGCCAGCTCCTCTGGTACTGCAATGTTTGCCAGGCATCTCAGCAGATCTTAGCTGGTGTAAAATAGTCAAAAGTGGCCATGATTGTAGATATCCCCTTTGTCAAGTGGCCCACCAAAACCTGGTTAACTGAGACAATGATTTTTAAAGCGTTAGCCTCGCATCAGTTTTCCCATCTGTAAAATGGGGCACACGGAAAAATAATGAAGATAAGACCATTAATGTACGCGAAGCTCTTGGACCCTGATATGATGGGGGCTATTCAGATGCCTCATAGGGAGAGGCATAGGCTGGGGACCAAAGTACCATGGGTAATATGTGGTATAGCTGGAGTGAGGCATTGTGGTTGGGCAGCTATATCACTGACTGCTTGGTAGCTTCTTTCTTTCTTTCCATCTCCGCATTGTTTTGTTGAGTGAAACAAAAAGGGACTGTTCCTTCTGGAGGCACCTTTCGGGTATGTAGCACCCATGATCTCCTGCCCACTCAAAGCCCCATGCTATGACTCCTGGGATGACCAAAACTCCCTAGATAATACTGGCACAGCACTTAGCTGCACGACTATAAATATATCTGAAAAACCTGTACTCACCAGCCCCAGGGAAAAACTCCAGGGAAGTTAAAATACTTTTGCAGTTAGCAAATAATGATGCTTTCCTCTGGGAGGAAACCAAACCATCTAACGAAAGGGCGCTTTCCCAGACTACACAGGCTTTGGGGCTCGCTGATGCCTCTTCTTTTCTTTTCTCTCTTTTCTTTCAGATACGATATTTGCATCTACAAGAATAAGCCGTGTGGCACTTTAGGTACGTGGTCGTCCCGCTCCGGAATCTGTGGTGGTCATCATACGTTGCTCCCATATAGCGCACCAGTGATCTCAAGGCCAGTTTCAGAGGTTAGGTGTCTAGCAAGGTGGTCCAGAATTGCATGGGCTGTGGCTGGTGGTCTCCTGCCTCATCACTCGAGTATTTTCTGCCATGGTGGCATGACGGCAGGTTGTTGGGTGGTGTGTTGGAGAAGCTTCCCCTCCTGGTTCCCATGCGGTGCTCGCCCTGCAGATACATGAAGAATTTAGTTTTCTCGATATAGCAATGAATCCGATCACTTAAAATACCATCTGAGCCTTGCCTGCCTTTTTTTTTTCCGCTTGGCCCCTACTACTGACAGTGCATTCTCTGTGCATAGGACTTCAAGAATTTGCTGTCATGAGCTCAGGGATGTTTCTGGGTTGTTGAACAAGATAAATGAAGTCAGGGCTGATTCTGAGTAGTGCTGGCACCAGCCAAAGCCCCTGGGCCAGACTCTAGGATCTGCACTTTGTATCACTGCAGCAAGCTGGATAGGACCTCAGTGCTGGCCCTTTATAGGCAGTTCTTCAAGCCAGGCTTTGGATCCAAGGTTTTGGTGTGGGCCTTTCTCAAGTTCCAGGAAGAGCCAACCCCATCCCGGGAATGTCAGCACTTGTGTGACCAGAACCATTTCCTCTCTGTGGAGACAATCTGGGATTAAGATGAGACTTGGCATTTCCAAGCCTTCCTCCAGCTGCCAGTCATCTTGCTGCAAGTGCTTTCACTGGCGGCACGGAGGGTAATGGGAGGCTCAGATGCCAAAGCCCGTAAAACCACTGTCCCATCCTGCTCTGAGGCCTGATTCAAAGCCCACTGAGATCAGTAGGCAAAGTCAGGACAGTAACACGAGGTTAAGGCTCACAATGAATAGTGAGCTTTAAGCCCATTGCTGAGCCCTGAAACACGGCCCTTTTCTGTGCATCATTGCACACATCTGCAAACTCTCCATGCTAATGGCAGCTGCCTTTCCTAGGGCTGGCCCCGGTCGGAGGAATGTGCGAGCGAGAGAGAAGCTGCAGCATCAATGAGGACATTGGCCTGGCAACGGCCTTCACCATTGCCCATGAGATTGGCCACACGTGAGTTTTGCTCCCTGAAGAATCCTTTTAGGTATCCCTTAAAGGGAAAAAAAACATGCCTATTTTGGCTATACTTATTGGTAACAAGCTCTACAATCCTATTGAAAAAAGAGCATTTTGTCATCATAAAGATCCAGAAACTGCCATGCCAGATTGGACCAGTGATCTGTCCAGTCTGATATTCCCCATCCTTGCCCAGCCAGATCACATCAAAGTCCAGCTGGCCCCGATGCCTGCTCTACCAGATCCCACCAGTGATGCTTGTGATCTGATGTCTTGCTTCCTTGCACATACGGGCCAGAAAATGGACCATGCAGTCCAATGTCCTGTTTCCAGTGCTCAGAGCTTCAGAGTAAGACAAAAAGCCTAATGTATCTGAACAAACTATAGCGCATGGAAGGGAAATTTCTCCTTGGCCTTCATTGATAATTGTCCTGTGCCCTGAAGCCTGAGGAGCAATAGTACCTTGACATTTTAGCCTTCTTTGGGACAAGAGCTTTTACTGATGGTGTTTGTGCAGCACCTAGCACAACAGTTCCAGTTAAGACCCGTTGCTCCACATGCAGTATGCCTCAACCTAAATATTAAGTAATAATAATTCATACATGTCTTCAACCCAGTAGGTCCTCATTTGTAATCCTGCTCAGCTGTGCACCTCAGTAAAAAAAAAAAGTGGGATCATGTGTATTTAGGTAGGCTAAGCTAAAAACAGCCCAGCCTTGTGTTCTGGCTTTTTAGCTGCCACTTCCATAGATCAGAAAGGGATTTTTGCCCGACACACAACTTCGTATGGTTGGCCTGAGCGTCGGGCAGGGAACGGCAGGGAGGTGGGAGGCTGGGAACAACTGGGGGGCAGGTCAGAAGAAAAGGAGGTGCCCAGAAGAGGCAGCAACATCTGGATGGTGACACCCTAAAGTCTCCCTCTCACTGAGCCAGAGTTCCTCCATCACCGCCGTACCCCTTGGGGTGCATTGAAGCCTTAGGAGACGGGCCAGACCCAATATCCCATCACACGCTGGCCTTCCCCGGTTGCAGTCTGAGGACACCCAGGAGGGACATCAAGTGCAACTCATGTCTTTGTTGTCTTTGTGATGTTCTCTAGATTCGGCATGAACCACGATGGGGTCGGCAACAGCTGTGGCTCTCGTGGGCAGGAAACAGCCAAGCTCATGGCTGCTCACATCACCATGAAGACCAACCCCTTTGTATGGTCCACATGCAGCAGGGATTATATTACCAGCTTCCTGGAGTAAGAAACCCCTCTAGTTATGCTCTCCCTTTCCCCTACAGCTGAGATCCTCCTCCAGCCTCTACTACTGATTTACAAGGAAGGGAAAACCAAGGAGATTGCCCCACATGCACACACCCCATGCACAATCTGTTCCCTGGCTCCCAGCCCCCAGATCCTCCCCAGCCACGAACCTGCTCTCCTTCCTCCTCCTCCCTTTTTCCACTGCTTGCATTATCATCTGCTAAAGACACTAACCTCCTGATTTACCCTGTCCCACAGTGTGGAGACCTTAGCAACACTTCCAGGAGCTTCACCAAGAAATCAGTGGCTCCTTGAGATGTCTGAAAGGAGTCCAGGGCAGTCAGGAAGCAGGGAGCAGAGTTTATGTAGTGGGGAAAGGTGCGCTGGAGACTGGATTCCTCTCTTTATCCAGGACAGGCTTCCCCATCCATTGCAGGATCAATTTTAAGGTGCCCCTAAACAACTTGGGAAGAGATGTTCAGAGACACCACTGAGATTTAGGAGCGGAAGTCCTAGGCCTTTCAGAAGGGCTGTACTCCTACACCACGGAGCTGTTTTTGAAACTCGTCCTGCCATAGCAGGACACTAGGAACAGGAGGACTGGGTCTCTCTCTGTGTCATCTTCAGCCTTTCCATCAAGAAGGGACTGCTCTGGACCAATTGTGAAAGGGCTTTTATTTTTTTGGTGGGATCTGGGTGCTTGTGTCTACTCAAAAGACTAGGTCCAGCTTAAATATAAGCCAAAGAGGAGCAAACAGTGTGTTGGGATCTTCAGGCGCAGGTCCCGTCTTGGAGTGGCCCCAGGGTTGCAGCCCAGTTGGAAAAGAGGTAACTCAGCCCCTCGCCCTGTAATTGTTGAGGGGTGTTGCAAATGCAAACTTTATTCTCGGATCCCGAGGCCTTGAGCTTTCCCTCCGTTCCAGCGAGCTTGGCCGGGACCTGGGGCTTGCCGTGAAATTCCAGGTCTGGCAGCTCATGTTTGGCTGCAGCAGAAACCTCTCCTTTTGACCCCTGCACCCACAACATAGCAAAGCGCATTCCTCCTGCAGCACTGGGAGACTGTTGCAGCAACTTCTGTTGTCCTCACGTAACCCTGCAAGGTCTCGGCTGGGTTGGCAGAGAGCGGTGAATTTACAGTGCGCTCCTTTACCGTACGTTCTCTCCGCCCTCGCTTAACTCCGTAAGCTGGAGATGCTCCCCTGTGCCAATGATCTCACTTGCTGCGAGGCTTTGGGACTTAGGGCTCTGGGAGTGATGGCAGGGGCTTTAATTTAAGGAAAGGGTATGGCTGCAAGGGGCGGGGGGGGGTCAAGGAGAGGGCAGGGGAGGAATCGTTCTTGCAAAACTTGGATGATCCAATTAAGACCTGGCAAATAGGAGAGGCCGGGAAGAGTGAGGGGTTTCCATATTCAGCACCTCCAGCTATCGTTCATCATTACACTTATGTGGCCCTACAGTCACTCCGGACAAAGAGGTTTGCAAGGGCAGCTGCTTCTTCTCCCTCCGGGCACATGAGGAAGAGGTCTAGTTCTCAGTGCCCTCAGACCGGCTCCATCCAGCCATGCATTGTCCAATAATCCCAGTATCCAAAGGGCTTCTTCACTGGTGGAAAGTGCTGGTGATAGGACACAAAACTTTTAGGCCAGGGCTTCAGATCTTGTGGGCACTGGGACCACTTGTGTCCCTGAAATGAAGCCTGTGCTCCAAGTGCTTTGCTGTATCTGGACCATAATACTCAGATCTCAGAACACTGTAATAAGATTGATCAAACCCCAGAAACAGTCCTGTGTGGTGGACAGTGTAATCTCCCTTGTACAGACAGAGGAAAAGAATCCCAAAAGGGCCTTTGGGAGGGGGCACCTAACTCCCTTAGGCATTTGAAAATCCCTTCCAGAGTTTCAGATCGGTGTTGCCAGACTTGGGCTCCTAAACATACACTATGTGGATGTGCACCCCTGTGATTGGTGAAGGCTCAGCACTGTAACATGGACTTAAAGCCCAAACATGGAGTTAGGTGCCCAGCTTTAGGTCCCCAGTTAGCATATGTTGCCCAACATGGATTTGGCCATGGTCATCTGGGATGTCACAGAGAGACAGATCCCTTTCTCCAAGGCACAGCCTTATATTTTGGACCCCAAACTAACCTCCCTGACTCTTTCTCCTGCCTTTTCCCTGCTACCTGGGGGCCCACGTGAAGTGAGCTCATCCGTTCAGCCTGTATAATGCATAGAACTGAAACCCCAGAATCACGTGGCTCCAGAGCTAAGCAGGAGCCTGCAATGCAGGCCCAGAGTTTGACCTAACCCTAGTGTCAGTCAGGTAAGGAGAAGGTTGAATCCCTCGCTCCCTCTGTCTAGTATCTCTACGCCCCGTTGGTGTAGTTTAGCCCCTCACTGAAACCTCAAAGGAGCCCTTTCCCAAGTCCAGAAAGGCACCGTTCATTTGCTTTCCATTTTATTTCATTTTCATGGCAGTATTGGCATTTCCCAGCTGCCCAGCATGGGGCACGGAGGTACTGAGAGACCTCGGGAAAGCATACCCCACTTACATCCCTTGCTCCAAATATAGCAAGGCTTCTCAATGCTTAGCTCCGGGTTGCTAGCAGTTCAGCTGACACTCGCTCCCAGCCCCTGGTCACGACCCTCCTGTTCATCTACAAGAGTTTCCCATTAGTGATTCTTTGTCTTTTCCCCCCTCCAGCTCAGGGATGGGATTATGCCTGAACAATGCTCCTCCCAAGCAAGACTTCATCTACCCAACCGTGGCTCCAGGGCAGGCCTACGATGCAGATGAGCAGTGCAGTTTCCAGTACGGAGTTAAATCTCGCCAGTGTAAATACGGGGTAGAGAGCCTTCCTGCTTTACTATTGGTTCCAAGGGAGTGGAGGGCAGGGCTGCGCAGGGCGAAGGGCTTGGGCCACTGGTGCATTTCTTTTGCCACCCACAATGCTTTGCTGGCTTGCTTAAAATGAAAGGCACTCGCACTGCCGCCGTGAGCTTTGCCTCGTTCCTCGAGGGCCAGGCCAGGTCTGCAGATCCGCTCGGCTCGGTTTCCATCGGCTCCGCCTGATGGGAGGCGTTCGATTCATTCCCATACCATCCCGGCTCCCTGGGGATCAAAGGGGTGTAGAGGGAAACCAGGCTGCAAGCTACTCATCCGACGCCCTCTTCAGTTGATGGGTGGAGGCAGGGAGGTGTTATAGCAGTCGTGGCCTATTTAAATTCCCGGCCCATGCATAATCCTAAAGAAAACCTCTCCAGTGGGCATGCTACCTCGGTGAGGCTGTTTCCGAATATCTGCCTGGCTCAGGTGAGACTGTCCCAAGGGACGTGCTCTTGAGCCCCTTCTTCCCACATGGGGAGTAAAATGTAGGGCCTGAAGCCAAATTATGAGCTCTGCTCACCACTGGTGGGTCTGTGGAACAGCAAAGCCAGGTTAGAAAAGGCGACCCACCAGAAGGATGAGCCCCAGACATGGATTTCCAGTGCAAAGCCAAAGTCCACTGAAGCCAACGGAGTTGCTCTCAGTTTACAGGACCAGCCTGGCCCTTCGCCCGCAGAGCCCCATAGGTGCGGTTCCCCTGCAGCAACTACCATCCCGAGCGTGATTTGCTACTAATGGCTTCTGAGTCCACCGGCAACTCCCGCAAGTTCATTCTGCTTAAAAGTCAAAGCGGGGTTGTTTTCCCTGGCAGCGCTTCCAGCTCGCCCTGGAGCTCGGACACCCTGCGGGATTCTCTCTGCTTCTGACGGCATCAGCAACAGAAGAGCGCCTGAAACCTGAATTTTATTGGTCACTTTATCAAATGCCTGAGGCAGAACCGTTTCCTGCTCGTGCTCTTAATACTACATTGGATCTGTCAGTTTGGTAGGGCTGCAAGAGAGTATCATCCATTATCTGGGACCCATCGGGAGGTAGCCTTGGCCTCTTGAACCCAGCAGAGAAAGGCAGAGCAAGAACCAACACCCAGAAGCTGAAGCCAGGCGCATTCGAGTGAGAAAAGGCATGCTAGTGACAGCGCTTCACCCTTACAACAAACTACTTGGACAGTAGGAGCCCAGATGCTGTAGTGTATAACATAATAAGTTGCATGGAAAGATCATCTTTGTGGTATGCCCTCAGCGACTCCTGTGAAATCCCGTGCCCCTCTATGAGCTGCTGCACAGGGGGAGCTGGGGAGCTTAGCAAGCAATTTGCTCTGTGCCAAGCATGAAGGTATAGACTCCATTCCCCTCCCATTCCAGTGTTAGCTCGACACGGCTAATAGGAAGGAAGAAGGGAAGACACCCATTTCAATAGGCAAAGATGATGCCCTTCTGCCAATCTAAGCCCCAGTCATGTGGATTTGCCAAGGGAGGTTGGTGCTCGCATCCCACTGAGAAGCAGCCAGAGTCCAGTGCCCTGCTCCTTCCCACCGGCTAGAGAGCGCCAGCGGGGAGCGGGGTTCCTGAATCACGCTGCGGACTCCTTTTCTTAATCAGAGCATCCTCTCCTTGCACCTCATTATGGTAACTACAGTAATAATGCACACACCTTGGCTCCCTTTTGATACTAACCCAGAGGATTCCCAGTCACTGAGTCAAGAGTGTTTCACGCAAGGCTCGGTGGCTATTTAGGACCAGGCTTCAGAGGGGCCAAAGACTCCCACCCTGAAAAGCTAAAGCAAGTCAGAAAGGGATGCTGAACAGCCTGCTGCCTGATGGAGGGTACGTGGCCCGCAAGGCCACTGCTTTGGGCTCTAAGGGCAGGCTAGAGCCAGAGGACAGAAAGTTGCTGCCTTGTTGCATAGCAGCAGTGCTGGGCCAGTGGCGGAGTGTGCAATGCTGATGATTTGCCATGTTACCTGGCTGAACTTAGGATCGTGGCCAGCCTGCCTAAGCATGCGATATGCATAGCAGGAGGCCGTAATCCTCCAGGCCGTGTGTCTCTGGAGAAGCCCTAACTGTAGTGTCACGATACTAGATCCTACCACCCGCGTCCCCTGTAAGTGTGCGCTGCTTTTGATTCTTCCTACTACTCCTCAGTGCCTGATCATCTTTGTAACTGCAAGAGCTGCCCAAGCTGCTGTCCCTCACTGTGCAACAGGACAATGCAGAAGGATCCTGCTTTGATAAGTCTGTGATGTAGAGATGAGAGCAAAGACCCAGCTAGGAGAAGGGAGCCTTTTCTGTCTTACAAGCCATGCTCTATAGCCCTGCACACTGGATGTCTCTGACATACCTCAGCTGAGCTCAGAGGGCTGCAGCCCTTCAGAGCCTGTTCTCCCATCTCAACATTTCCTCCATAGACAAAAAAACCCCCTATCTTTCTATTTTTAATACCCAGTTTAATTCCCAGGGAGTCATTTTCTGCATAAGAGTTCAGGATTCAAACAGGCTTGCTCTAATACAAAAGGATCATGATGACAATCTGGCAGCCAGCTTGGCTGTGGATGCTAGACACTGCCTTGCAGTTTGCAGGTGATGAAATCTGGACTTTGGATGATTTAGGGGGCAAGCAAGCTCCCAGGCTCTGCATGTTCTGATTTAGCATCTGCAACAGATTTGCAGCATCTCTGTGATGAGGCTGGCTCTTGGGTGCGTTTTAAATTGCCTGAGAGAAGAAAAGACACAGCTGAGGGAAATTGTTGTTGCCTGGAGCTCATTAGAGGTCAGGGTGAAATTGCACTGAAGGACGTGGAACTCAGATAGAGCCTCTTGGAAGGAGGAGAGGAATGTCAGGGCCCTTTCTGGCCAAATGGCACTCAACGCAGCACTTGGTGAGAGATGAAGAAGCAAGACATCTTCCCTCTTCCCCAGTCCTGGAGCTGGTGCAGCAGCTAGCATAATTTTGAGCATCCTAAAAGCAGCTCTAAATGCAACCACCGACAATGTGTCCTTTAGGACTATGTTGCCAGCTGGTGATTGCTGTAGCACAAGGATTCTTTGTTGGGTCTCTTCCATCCCAATGCATCTCCTAAATGTGTGGGTGAGGCCAGAGAGAGAGGGCATAAAGCTGCTGCCTGTGCCAGCTTTTGCCCTCCAGCATGCTGCTGCCTCTCTGGGGGTCACCAGTTGCCCTGGAAAAACCCAACTTGACCTGAGTGACACACAGGAGCTGTGATCAGATCTCTGTATTTATCGTTCCTAACTACAACCCAAAGAAGGAGCCAGTCCCCTGACTATAAGGGTAAGACTGGGTTACCCTTGGACTTATTCAGATCTCCTGGGATATGTGTTCTCTGGTCAAAATGGAAATCTGGGGTGCGGGGAGCCAGTTTTGATGCACTCATATCATTTCGGTACCTTGAAAGCAGGGGTAAATTTTAGGAAACTCTTCCCTTGGCCCACCTCCTCATCTGAATGCCTGATCAATGCAGGCTGGATGCCAAGAGATGCTGAGCTCTTATCAATAAGTAGGCTGCGAGAGCAAAGCATCTCTCAGGACGTGGGCCCATCTTTGTGTTGCTTCCCTGCCTAAAATGCGCCAAGTCCTAGACCAGGGGTGGGCAAAATGTGGCCCGCAGGCGGGATGCGGCCCACCAGGCCAGTCTGTCTGGCCCACGGGGCCCCTAAAAATGTCGGAAATGAATATTTAG